AGGAATGTGCTGAACTGTCGTCGGCTTGTCGAGTGGAATTACTGCTGAGTATCAGCTCAATTACATCCTCAGCGGATCTATTCAGAACAGACAGCAACCTGTCAGAATTATCATCAACGGTGTTGCTGCTGTTGTTGCTTCCTGATGATGACGGTTGCGTTGCTGTGGCTGCTGGATAGCAACTAACTGAATCGACGTTGAAGCATAGCATGAGCCAAAAAACGATGATCGACTCGAGTTGGTTAGTGCAAATGACTGGGCATGCCATTCTTCTCATGTAGCCACAACGATCATGGAATTTTCAACGACGAGTAACTCTGAAATTTCAATTTCAAGTCATTGGAAATAAGTTTTTTTTCCAGTAAGTTGATTTTTTTTCGTGAAGATAATCCAATTCCACTTCAATGAATTCCAATCGCTACATCGTCATCATCTCGTTAGCGCAACGAGGAATTTCAATCATTTAATTATACACATCAATACATCGTTCGAATTCACTAACGGACGGAAGGAAAAGATCCGTCCTCCGTCAGTCGCTCGTTGCGCGTTGTATTCATTGATTGTTACTCGTTTATGATTATAAACGAGTAAATCAATTATTCATTCGCTTGATACAATAATGAGCATTCTCTTATACATATTTACTTAACATCATGAATAAAGTGTTCAGTTTTATGAAATTTTCCCAAATAGAGGATGCAAACGTAGGTATAAGTAGGTATAAGTGAACGTAGGTATAAGTGCACATGCTGCATGAATTCGAATCGGCATTGCTAAACGATTCAACCGGTTCTCTAAGAGGTATTGTACATGTTGAAGATGATCACTTTCAAGTAACAGATAATAAATTAGCAAATGTACGTACATCCCTAAGCATGTTTCATTCAAGTAACAGATACGTGTTTCCATTTGAACTGGTCTTTTAAGCAAGGACCCAAACTGGTCTTGCCACGATGGAACTCTCAACGTTCCTCCCTCCCACCAAAGGTCATTAATGGTTGAGAGCGTTGTAATATGTTATCGACATTGATGTGTTACATCCAAAAATAAAAAAGAGCTGATATGAATGATGATCAAAATTTGCTGATCACTAGCTGCTGGAAATGTTTCGAAACCGCCTGAGAAAATGCTTACAATTAGTTACAAAACACTTTATCTAGTGAAAATGACAAAAATTAGCTCTATGTATACTTCGAGAATATGATTAACACACCCTAATTAACTACGTTCACCAGAAATTATATCAGTCTATCAATAGGTAAATGTCTGCGCTAGATTCATGAAGACTGTTTCTCAGAATGGGATTATAAGAACACGGGTATCCCAAACACAAAATCACACAAGCACTTCCTAGTTAGCAGCTGGTTGTCGCACGATGGATGGAACAATATTAACAATACTATCAAATTACTCATTGTGTGTTCGTGAAAGGTGATAATTACGTAACGTATATAAGAACCATAGTACATCTTAATTGTAAACAATAATCTCATATTACTTGCGATGATGTAATGTGATTAAAAAACATTCACATTGTTATCAGTCGCAGGCACAGCGTCACCTGTTGTGAGATCATCAACTTTTTTCACACATCACAAAAGATCCTACCCGCTAGCATGACTAGTCCAAACCTTAATTCAGTCATTCATATTTTGGAACTGACTTCCAGAACATCTAAAAAAACGTTTTTGAGTGACACTTTTCAATCATCCGAGTGAGTGAACTGAAAGCTGTTTCCTTGAAAATGTAAAGAAACCAAGCAGGCGTAATTTTAAACCATTTTTCAGCTTCTACGTCATCTTCAAACTAGTAAATTGATTTGATTATGCGCCGCGGCGCATTCTCTGAAATGAAAGTGAAACGAAGGCAAGTCAAAACCTATCATAGAATGCATTACTCACTTATCCTGAACAGTAAAACTATCTTTTGAGGATGTACTTTTTGCGAAAGAATCATTCATAGTGACATTTTCGAAACGCGTCGAAGAGGTGAACACGGACTCAGCGTTAATACGTCACTGAGTGATTTGTGTGCTAATTGGTACTTTAACTATAACTATAATGCATACCTCACTTTTATAGTGATTGCCGTTACATTCGTATACGTATCACGCATCCTCCGATGACATTTCGAAGTACGAAAGCGAGTTGTCGTCATTACAGCAATTGTTCTTTCGCTTTCGTGGAAACAAATTACAGCAAACCATAAATGATTTATTCCTAAAAGCGCTTAAACGCCATCAGCACTTCTCTCAATTCGGATAGTTTTTACCGGCCAACATTTTGCGCAATAAATTCAGATTCTTTTCGCAGCTCAATTCTTCATTCATTGTTGAGTTTTTTCCCTTGATCGTCTGCTCTTATGCTGTACATTCCCCAATCTCAGTTCAGTCCGCAACTATAAATTTCA